CGCTTAATCGATTTCTCTTTTCATTCTGATCATTTATGTATACATTTGTCTATATCTATCTCGATTCGTTTTGCCTGTTACAAACAACCGTTATGTGAACAAAGTTATAATACCCTTGTGCACAAGTGCGCTCGGGTATAAAAAAGCATTCTAAAAGCATAGAATTCATTTATTTAAGATTAATGACCCAATTCTGTATCGGTGACAAACATTTTTTTACTGACAAATTTAAAAATTTTTATATATTTTTGCGTAATAAAAACTGTGACAAGAATTTGTCAGTGATAGACAATAGAACCGTAATTGCCCGATTCTGTAACGGTGGGAATTTTTTTTTAGTGACAAATTTAAACTTTTTCATAAATAAATTTTTCCGTAATAAAAACTGTGACGGGAATTTGTCACTGATACAGAACAGAGCCGCAAATGTTCCGAATACAAAGTATTTAAATACATACATATATGTATATACATAAATGCAGATACAGTCTTAGGCTCAGTGATCACATCAAGTCTACTGAGAAAATCGTCGAAATCTATGCTGTATAAGCTTTATCTCTCATACCTCTGATTGTTCAGATACCAGTTATTACGATATATCTCCTTTATGTAGGAGTCCAAACCCATTAAATTGTGTTTCCGGTTTACATACCGATCACATAGCAATGAAAATCACTTAGATTGGTGCTATATAGGGTATATTTTCCATACCTCTAATTGTTTAGATATGGTTTTTCATATAAATCACATCTATCTATGTATTCTGTAAATATATAAATTTTTTCAAATGCAGTTATCTGTTAAAGTAAAATTTTCAGCGCTGCTCTTACTTGTTTTTATTTTTAAGGCAGGATTGGCAAATGTTTATATGCAAAATGATGTTTGAAATAAATATTTCTGTATTTAATTCAACTATCCGACCAAAATTTTATATTGCCGACCAACCTACCAAATGAAAAGAAGCCACCGAAATTTGGTCGAAAAAGACCAATAATGGTAACACTGATATGCCTATATGCATATTCATATTTGTGCTTATGTATATATGTAGAAATACATATGTATACAATCTCATGCAAGCTCACGTACAGCATATACTTACATACATATGTATGTATATGCATATATGCCGATGGAATTTGCATGTGCATGCCTACACAATTAATAGTAAATTTCCCACGCTCGCTGGTTATGTGGCATCCGACAAACTGGGCAAATTGGTACAGATTTCATCACTGAACCGCCGCACAGTGTGAGATTTGGTCAATCTAGGATGCCAAAATTAAAAAAAAAAATGTGCTTGAAAATCGATCATATTTGGTTAATTTGTTAAAAAAGACCCCAATTGTTACGAAAACTGAGAATAAAAGAAATGTCATTGGTATGATAACAGCTATCAAACGCTTGCCATTGAACAGGTTGTGCGCGTTATTTTTTGCAAAAAAGTTTTTTTGTATTAAAGGTCAATACTTTCATTCAAATTTTTTGCTATACATAAAATAAAATTTTGCCCATTTTTTCCTAAAGGCATCTTTTTTCAACTTAAATGATATATTGCACGAGAAGCTTTAAGAAATTTGCTTGAGTGAGGGTGTCCCAGTGATAAGTACTTTTCTTTTAGGTGATAGGGGAAGTTTAGACGAACAGAAAATTTTATGGGAGGTGGATCTAGAATGCAACCCTGGGGAGTTATAGGGTTAAGAAAGTGATCGGCAGTAGTTCCAGAAAAAAAATTCTCACGCCTAAACGAAAAGCCCTAATGAAAAACTCCCTATAGAGCTTTTTTAGTTAATTGTATTAGATTTATAGAAACAAATATTTTAGGGTGGTTTTTAGGCTTTAGGGAAATCTGGGTATTATAAAGTCAAAATTTCAAGAATTTTTTAACCCTTCTTTTTCTTTGGCGTCCATTTCGGTATAAAAAAGGCCTTATTGACCTATTTATTTTTTTAAATTTTTAGGTCATGAAATTTACTTAAAATTTGCCCAACATATGTCACACAAATTTTTCGGTTTCTCTCCGGAAAAAATATACTCCAGCCAGTCTCTTTAGGGATAGTTCGGCCATTTTAGTATAAAAACTTTTATTTTTTATTTTTATTTTAAAATCGTCATAAAATTTTCTCCAAATTTGCTCAATATATGTAATAAAAATTTTTTGGTTTTACTCCGGAAAAAATTGTCTTCAACTGGTCTCTTTAGGGATAGTTCGGAACTAACCCCTTTTGACAATAGTTGGAACCAGTTAATCATAACCATATTGAAGCTTATGTTCTTTTTAAAAATCCTGCCAAATTTCAAGTTGATTCTCTAACACTTTGGCTAAAATTGAATTTTGACGTCCTAGATTGGCAAAATCTCACACTGTGCGCCGTTTGCCTGGTAGTCGTCTCGTCAGCTGGGTATTGTGACAAAGCGAAAAACCGTGGTCACAGACTTACTTGCGGCATATGGTTGTCCTTCCTACTGCTGTGGATAGTAAAAGTAGTACTCTGGCTCGACATTTCCACCTTTCCTTTACGTATAATCGATGCGCACGGAAAAGTGGCAATTTTGTAATCTAGCATCAACTGCGATGAAGCGTCACAGCTCGTTGTAGCGGTCATTCATATCGCTTGCCTATGTATGTACATATTTATATGTACCTACATGTATCTACACAGGTTTACATACATACATATGTATGTATAAATATACATGAAGTGCGCTACAGTAGTGTCGTTGAGGTCTGTAGGTGTTCCAAATCTGTGCTCTTAAATATGTGGCGACGATACCATGAGTATGGCATAAATGAAAATATTGACACATTTTTAAATTTATGATGTCACTTGCGCATTCCCTTGCCTGTATCATCATATGTATATATACAAAGGTGATTTTCGTAATACATATGGCAGCGTGTAGCTAGTATGCAAGCACCTCGTTCAGGTGTACAAAAGTGCACTTACATGGATGACTTAAGTGTAATATTATGTAAATTAGTTAGGTCATCAATTACACAAACGTTTCTTATTTGTTTCTTATCTAAATAGAAGAAGAGGATGTTGATTTTTCCGCATTTTACGATCCCGGGATTTTCGAGATGTGGTTATTATTATTATTATTATTATTATGGTAATTATTAGTCACCACCATATTTTTATAAAAAAAAAAGCGAAAAATAAAATATTTAAAAAATAGTTGCCCGTATTGTAAAAAATTCGCTGTACCTAAACTTTATTGACTGAGCGTATGTGCATATATTTTACTCTTGTTGACGTGCAATAATGTCAATGGAATTAATGTCCTTGACATTAATACATAATTTAAGAGTGATTTAATGTCAGGAATGTTAAAAATCCTGCAAGCTTTACGGTGACGTGTAATAGGCGCACTGGAAATAACATCCTTGGACAATATTTCTTATCGTCCATAGACAATGCAAATTACCATTTCGAAAGCGAAATGGAAGTTATTGCTCCATCAAAAAAATATTAAAAAAATACACTGCTAACATACTACATACTATGAATATATGTAGTATACAGCTTTAAAAGTGCATAACACCACGGGGCACCACGCATCGCCACGCGCCGTTGGCCACTTTTCATTTTAAACAAATAAATTGATTTTATTTTTTTTTTTGGAAACCAAATTTCACTTTTAGCAAATTGTTTTTATTTCACATAATTGAAATACTTGCAATTTTTAAATAAGCAACTAATTCGAAACAGGCACATCTCTTCAAAGTTGTGACCTTTTCGAAATTACTCCTGCACACGCCGTAACATTGACCCAAGTTGCACTTTTTTCAATCGTAGGAAGCATTAAGATTGCATTTGTATGGAAAAATGCATTAGTCAATTTTATACGACACAGATATAATTTAATAATTTCGCAAAACGTTGTATGTATGTATGCAAATGTAGTATACGTGCCTTGTTTCTAATGGGTTGGTGAGGTGTTCTATTTCTTAATTAAACTATTTTTGGCAAATATGCATATTATTAACAAAGTTTTTTTTGTTTTGCTTTCTTTATTTACAGGTCGTGCTTGTATTTATACTCAGCATTGCATCACTCATTATTTACTTCGTGGACGCATCTAGCGAAGAAGTCGAAAGATGTCAAAAATGGAGTAATAACATTACTCAACAAATCGATCTCGCATTCAATATATTTTTTATGGTTTACTTTTTTATACGAGTAAGTTGATTTTTCGGTTTTTATTTATGAGTGATTTTCGTTTGCCTGAATCCCAACTTTATTGCATAGACTTCTCTTAAATATTTGATTTATAGTACATAAAAATATCGAGGGCATATATTCAATACCCTCAATCTGCAAATTTTCACAAAAATTACTTTGTGTGATGTTAGAACTCATTTGGGACTTACCTCTCATCACTGATGTTAATTCTGACTTTGCAATTTATTGGTAAACTCGCCTGTCAAGCGCTTTACAAGTTCAGCATTTAATATCACCGCTGACAGTTAAGTTTTAGGTGGATTTTTTTTTATCAGAATCTCATTTATGGGAAAAGTGTAGATAGAGGGTATTAAATATAAGCCCTCTATATGAAAATAATAAGTTAATTGTTGAGCTGTTGTTTTTAAACTGGTACAAAATATTTAGACAGATTAAGTTCTAGCCGAAACAAAATGCAAAAGTCTCTGCAACAAGAAAACAAGAAACCAGCTTTTTGTTGGTGGAATCGCCAACTGTTCAAGCGGTGAGATACGACGCTATTACTAATGGTAGGGTGACTGACTGTTTTTTTTTTTTAAACCAATTTCAACAGGGTGGGTTTTTTTGAAATCGAGTAAACTGGATTTTCTCCCAGCTAAGTAATTTATATACCAGAGTATAAAAGTTCTAAATATTTTTTTTTTTTCTTTTTAAGATAAACTAGAACAATTTTATTCACTTTCTATCGGTACCTGAGTGGATGATCGACCTATCTCGGCAGCCAATTTCGAAAACACCCTATCTGAAAAAACTTTCCAAGAACACCAAATTCTGAGATAGGGTGGTTTTCAATGAAATTTTGAAATAAGGCATTCTACAATCAAATTCTGAAGTAGGGCGTTTTTGAAAAGTTTTCTTAGGTAAGGCGTTTTCGAATTGGTTGCGGAGGTTAGACGATCTTCCACTCAGGTGTCGATATCTGAATACCCGAAAATTTTCCACTGCAAAGAATTACTTCAAAAGTAAAAGGAAAATCGAACGATGGTCGTTCTCAATCCAACGGAACGGCCAGGAAAAGGCCAAATCCGAAGTGTCTGGACCGTAAGTAGATGTTGGTTAGATGAGCCGATGTGAGCGGGTATTTGAAGGGATAGTTAGTTAGTTGTGATCGGGTGGTTTGTGGCCAAATAAACCAATTAAAAGAGAGTTCATTAGCCACTTAAGTAATCTTCATAAACACAGCTTTAACAATTAACTTTTGTAAATATCTGCAATCAAATCCCTAGCTTTTTATCATTTGACATACTGTATACTATGTCGTATCGATTTCTTATGTATCTCTCTCTCTTTTCTTTACTTTTCCAGTTCATAGCGGCGTCCGATAAACTTTGGTTTATGTTAGAAATGTACAGTTTTGTAGATTATTTTACAATACCCCCGTCCTTTGTATCAATATATTTAGATCGGACATGGATCGGTAAGCAAGATTTGCGCAAAAATATTGGCTTAACATAAAATATACTAATAAATTCTAAATTATAAATCAAAAGCAATATGTATTGTATGTATGTAAGTATTTAACGTTTTTCCTTTTCTACTTCATGTTTATGCAACACAACACGCACACGACTGCGCACAACATCTGTAAAATACTTCACTTCAAAACAAAAACAAAAATTAATTAAACAAATATCAACACCCACCCATCAACACTGACATACACACGCGCACGCATGTACGTGTTGGCTGATCGAAATGGCTGCATGCAATGGATTTTACTCCAAAAAAAAATGTATTTGTAAAAAAAACAAAAAACAACTTCAATTGGCGCTTCATAAATGGGTTGTTGCAATGCTTCTTCACACGCACCTCGTCACAGGTCTTCGATTTCTTCGCGCGTTACGTCTCATGACTGTACCGGATATTTTACAATATTTAAACGTTCTAAAAACATCGAGCTCGATACGCTTGGCTCAACTAGTATCAATTTTTATATCTGTATGGTTAACAGCGGCGGGCATAATTCATCTGGTATGTATGGATTGAGGAATAAATAATATTGCTATTTACTATTGTCGTATATGTACTATATATATTTATGTATGTCTATGTGCAAGTCAAAATTTTTTCTGTTTGATAGTAACATTTTTACGCTGGTCCAACAATGGTTTACCATTCTTCGTTCACCTACATTTTTGTGAATATTTTCATCTTCATTATTATTATTATTATGTCTAGTTTTAATTTTTATTATTATTAGTACTTTTTGTAACAAATGTATGAATGAAATGATGACCGTCAATCGCTTTGAGCAGCTGCCAATTGTAGCCAGGGAATATTTGTTGTATTTGTGCGGCGGTGGTCGATCCTTCCGGGCCAGACTGTCAGCCGCACTGTTAAAAGCACTGTTCATTGTCTTGGCGGTCATTGAAATGAAGACAATAAAAGAAAAAATTTATTATAAATAGTCCAATAGAATAATTCGCCAAAGCTGTAGTGGTGGGCCGTACGATTTAAGTTTGCTGCAAGCAAATGTGGCAAGTTTCAAAGTGCGCGTGGCTGCCACTACTACAGTTGCACAATTGCACATCTTGGAACATGTATGTGTGTGTGTGTGTATATAAGTACCCACATACAATGTACATACATACATACATGATCGTAAATGTAGATAAATCACTTAGCCACTCATAGTCGTCGTGACACGCAAATACATGCAATTTTAATCAGAAATAAATACATATATGCAAAATCAATTAGTAAAGTATTCGATTTTAATTAATGCTTAGTTAAATGAAATACCAATTTAGCATTTGTAGTCCTTATAGATGCAATCAAACAAAATTTATTTAATAATATTTTCAAAATTATTTTGAATCACTAACAATTGCCCCCATTGCGGATTGTAACTAAGCTCAGATTTGGTTTGTCACAAGGGTATGTAAAATGGCCACATCTTTTGAAGAACAAAAGACGATTATTGTGATAGGTTCGCACCCTGGTCTTGGTTAATTTTTTATTTTATCTATATCTTTAATATTTTAGCACTCCATATGTGAGTAGTCTACTTGCAAACAGCGTCATGTGATTATATAATAATAAGCCATAAATTGAAAAAAACGACTGCGACAACAACTAACATCTAAATTGAATATCTTTTTATTACCTGAAAATTTGAATAACCAAGAGCCTAATAACATTATAACAACATAACATAACACAACATAACATTAACAGTCTATACGACCTAAAACAGTTTGCTAAGCTCATCAGAAGATAGAGACTTTTGAATGTTTATAAATACATAAGTATGATAGCTACTTACATAGCGCACTTTGCAAGTGGACTACTCATGTGTGCTACAAAAAACTAAAAATTATATAGTGTGGTATGAGTTAAAATTTAAAGTTTTACCATTTGCTTTGAACGAACGTTTTCTGCAGCTACTGCTGGGATCACACCTCCCACACATTTCCAAATGAAAATCTGAAATTTTCTGGGCAATTCCGGGAAGTCGTTTGTAAGACAATTGAAAGACAGTAGGCAAGATAAATCGTTAGAAAGACTTTGTTTATTTTGACACGAAAGCTTTTAAAAGAGAAGCTCCCTTGCCAATTCATGGTGGAAAGCTCTTTTGAGAGAAAGCACTTGTATATTACTTCGCTCGCGCTGCTCCAGCAGTCGTAATTGCCGAGTGACAAGGCACCACTGTTCCATTCGAGTGGTTCGGGGTCGAGTTCTCGGCTAGCGAAATGTTTTAATTTTTTCGTGTTTTAATTATTCGATTTTGTTTAAATTTTTTTTTTAACTTGCTTTATTTTGTTTTATTTTTCTATTGGTTTATTTTTTAATTTAATTTTCTTTTAATTTTTAGACTTCATTGTCTTAAAAAGAAAATTTTTTGAATTTAGTTTCATGAAATTAAACTTATTTCATTTTCATTTCTTCAAATAAAATTTTTAGAAACAAAGATTTTTTACTTCATTTATTTAGATTTAATTGTTTAATAGAAGGAAACTTTTTTAATTTCAGTTAGTTTTTAGAAACAACGATTTTTTTTAATTATTGTTATTTTTTTGTTTAATTAAATTTCCTTTTAATTTTTCTCTTTTTTAATTAAATTTTCCTTCACTTTTTAGATTTCGTTCAAAAAATACTTTTTTTAATTTTAATTAAATTTTTAAGAACGTAAGTTTTTTTACTTTTTTATTAAGTATTCTTTTAATTTAATTTTCTTTTATATTTTAGACTTTATTGTTAAAAAAAAATTAATTTCTTTTAATTTGTAGAAACTTATTTCATTTTCTTTTTTATATAAATTTTTTAAAATTTATTTTTAAGATTATATTGTTTGAAAAACATTTTTTTTTTCTAATTGCATATAATTTTTAGAGACTTATTTTATTTATTTCAATTTAATTTGCTTTTAGTTTTGATCTTGTTTAAAAACTAAACGTTTTTTTAATCACATATATTTCTTAGAAACTAATTTGTTAATTTATCTCTTTTTTAATATATTTCCTTTTATTTTTTTAATACATTTTTCTTTTAATGTATAAGAGAAAATATATATTTCTTTTTTAAATAAAATTTTATTTTTATAAAACTTATTGCTTAAAGACAAAACGAGGAAATATCGCTTCTTGCAATTAAGTCGACTTTCAATATAGTCGCCATAATTGACAATTGTCCCTTCAAATGCAAAACAGCCTTTAGATTATTAACCGACATGAAATTGGCTTCTACTAGTAACTGCTTAGAAAGTATTGTGTTGTGCAGCTTGATAGGGAGTATTTAAGACTGGTCGTACTATCGAAAGTAACTCCAAGTATTTTTGGGTTATTCACAAACGGAATTGGTTCGCCGTCGCCGTGAATGCCAAGCTGTAGTCTGCCCTTCTTCGTACAGGTGGTAAAAGGGGTTGCCGAGGATTTCGTAGGGGGGAGGGTTAGGCTGCTTGCAGCGAAGAATTGAGAAAGTTCGGAGTGGTTTCAAGCACGAGTCCATTCCCGGATGCCATTGTCGAGAAGTCGCCAGCATAAGAGATAGTAGAGACTTCCTCTGAACTATGCCAATATCGCTGTAAGTTGCTCTCGCTCTTAAGAGCTGTGTGACATTTCATTCCTCTTCAAGACAGCACCAAAACGAACACTGTTACAATCTGTAATGAGGGCCATACTTGTATTTGCGTTTACAATGTGTCTATGTTATGTTACGTTTTTTTTTCTTGTATTGCTGCATTTATTTAAAATTTAGCTGGAGAACTCTGGCGATCCGCTGGATTTTAATAATGCTCATCGATTATCCTATTGGACCTGTGTCTATTTCCTAATTGTGACCATGTCAACGGTAGGATATGGTGACGTTTACTGTGAGACTGTATTGGGAAGAACATTCCTTGTGTTCTTTCTACTCGTCGGCTTGGTAAGTTACAATTTACTTAAACACACATATACATACATACACTGCTTTAAAAAATATTTGACAATTTGAAAAAAATAGATAAATCAAAAAATTTGAAGGTGAAGCAAAAAAAACGAAGAACTAAATAAAATTAAAACCGAAAATTTTTAAATAAAACAAGTTGTGAATCAATTGAGAACGCTTTTTTTTTTTGAAATATCAGGCTACCAGAGAGCGTTGTGAGTTGAAAGGAAAAATTCAAAAGTATATACACGCGTATTATTTAAATATTGAAACGAGGTAACAATTTAGCAAAACAAAAACATCACAAGTTCACCATAGATCAATAATAATGTAAGAACTTCGCCCCCACCTCTGCTTTCTTCCACAATTGAAGCGTATCCGCAGTAACAGTACTCCTTATATTTACATATAGTGCATATAGTGGCTTAAAATTCAAGTGAGACCTTAAACGTAAAGCTTTTCTTTAGGTATACCCAATATAAAATGCGCTTGGTAGCAGTGGGCTCTCTTGTTATTGACACAATATTTTAGCATGGCAGCAGCAGAATGTTGAATGGTTTACCCATATCCCATTGAAAACCTCTAAATTACTGTATCCCTTGGAGACAATTGGCCTAGTACTATATAATCTTAAAAAAAAAATAAATATATATATATATATGAGAAGACAGAAACCTACAAAATTAAAACAATCGTAGTGGTGTGAATGGAATGGAATTTTTTAAATTGTTCTAGATACAAATTTTAATTAAACTAATAAATTACTTTTCTTTAATAATTAGCTTACAAATGCTTAACCATCAAAATAATGAAAAAATAAAAACATTTTTTTTGTATGTAAAAATTTATTAGTGCCAACAGTTATGATATTTTTTATGATCGTTTTCTTGTTATGGCATATTAACAGTTTAGCTTATAAATATGTATACATCCACACATTCAATAGCGATCACCGATTACCAAAACATATTCCCCTCCCTTTAAGCTTTTCCAGTATTTTCAATGCGAGACCCCTCAAAATAAGTACACCAGTTGTGTTATTGTTACTTATCTGACTTTGACCCCGAGACTTTTACCGCGAATTTTTAGTGAAATACTGTTTTGGAAATTCTAAATTAGAAACAGCACAAAAAATATTTAATAGAGAAGATGTAAAAATTTAACTGTGAAACATATTTAAAATCTTGTGCTGTATTCCCACTGGGCGTTGAAGTGTCAAACAAATTTGTATCATTAAAATACTCTCATGTGGAAATAAACTTAAAATTGTCATTACAATTCTTCTCATTTAATACCCAGTGAAAATCCAGCAACTCCACAACACAAAACCAAATGTAATTTAACCAAATTTATGCACAGGTTTCATTTTAATCCATGCTTCCGCTGCTCTTCTATTCCACGCTTCGACATATGACGTCGAATTTACACAAATATCCAAAATTTTTAGATTTCACATTATTTTGAAATACTTATTTTTTTTTAATTTAGTTTCATTAAATTTTGCTTTGGTAGTGATTAATACTTCTTTAATATATTCGTTGTTCAAAAGCATGCAATTCAGTTTGCTTTCTACTTAAGTAACACAAATTAAAAATATTCCTATTTAGCAAATTTCGTTCATGCACATTTTCAATACAATAACTTTTTTTTTTAATTTTTTCTAAGCAGCCCACAAGAATACGTATTTAAGTTATCGTACTCGCAAGCTCGTTTGCTCAAAAAGTATCAAGCGAAATGTTCAAAAATTCGAAATATTAATATATTTAAACGTTTTTTTTATTCTTTCCATCTAAATTATGTCCAAAGAGCCTGGCTTCTTTTACTGTCCATAGCGGCTTCAGTATTTACTGCATTCTGAGTTTACCAATTGAAAGGTTTAATATTTCAAAGAAAACTGGCGGAGAATACAAACAGTTTCCGGTTCTACAAAAGCGATCGCGGAACTTTTTCGCACCCAACTACTTGGCGAGCTCAATCCTTCTCTTCCGTCGGTGCGTGGGTGCAAACGAACGATAGCACTCGGCGACGAAGTCTCTCTCCCACCACAAATCCGACAACAAATTTGCGCTCTCTTACTCGGCGCTTTGCCTTGGCGGTGATGTTAGCCTTTATCTTCACGAGGACATCAACTAGTCGGGCAGGTCACCTTTCCCATTAAGGTTACGTACATGCCAGGTCTAATCCTTTAAGTTATAGAACTTTAAAAGTTCGCCGTGATCGTAATCAAATTAAAAGGTCTTATCCGCCGCAACGTTTTCTTTACATTGAACTTTGATTTAAGTGAACTTGGAGAACTTTTTTTTTGGAGTACCTCGTTTATAGTTATGGCGATTCGATGGTGAATTGGCGTTGCTGACTTCAGTCTGCCATTAAACTTAACATTGTTCCACCGTCTCGCCCTCTTCAAGGCAGGATGGGAAAATGGACTTGTCATGTACGCCTATCACAGTCAGGGGTAAGCTTCACGTGCAGTGACCAGTCAGCAGTCTAACAAGTTTTCTGCAGTCTCGTCTTCTCGGTGAGAGTAAAAGACCTTCAAAAATTGAAGGCAGTATAAGATTTGCCCACCTCCATCCCTTCGATGCCTTTCCAATTATTGCTGAGCGAAGTATTCATCCACTTTCTGATAGTGGCTTCGAAGGGGGAAGGTAGGTTGCGGACCGAGGAATATCTGGTCTGAGCCAACTCGTTATGTTTGCCAACAAAATTTAGTCGAAACTTGCATTGCCGAACTAGTTTGGAAGTAGTTAAGTGCAGTTTGGCTTACCCTGCAGACTCGTACACTCCTTCCCCTCCACTTATTTTCCACCACCTAGTCCATGGTCTTGAGGACTGCAAATACCGTAGCCTGGAAGACCGAAGCATGAAGCCCCTCTCCATTCTGTCAATCAGCATTTCTCCCTTTGAACGAAGAAAAGTTTGCCTTCTTCTGTGGGTCACTATGAGAGTTCTTTGTAATAGTTGTGTCACATCAGCGCAGTACGATACACAAGGTTTGTTAATGGCTAAAATAGCATTTCCTGTAAATCCTGCAAAACCTGCAAATCGTACTGCTGCCGGAACGCAACTACTAAATAACTTAATACTTTTCTCTTCGGCATCGTTTTGACCTTAATCGACTAAATCGCATATTATGCCTAAAATTATGCATTCATGAAATCTTGTTGCTTTTTGAGCAACTGAGCCAAAGTATTACAGCATCATTACAAAATTACTGTAAAAAATACTTAATAGATTTTTATTAAAAACAGGTATTCAAAGGTGTATAGGTTTCTAGTAATCAATACTCAAATTTTCAAAATGCTTTTTACTTCGCATAGTAAAAGTACCATTTTCGCGCTACCGCTAGTTATTACCGCGAATTTAGGACTCAACTTAGTGGAGATACATATCTGTATTTCTCAAATATTTTTATACAAAACTACTTAAGCACTAAAAGATACTTTTTTTTCTTTATCGAATACACACATAAAATAAATCATATGAAATTCTAGGCAATGTTTGCCAGCAGTATACCGGAAATAATAGAGCTCGTCGGTAGTGGCAATAAATACGGCGGCGAACTGAAAAGAGAACATGGAAAGAGGTAGTCTATTTTAAAAATCAATCACAAAAACAATAAAAAAAAATAACCAATTGCATAAATATATATGTGTTTGTAGTACTAAAACCAAACTATACATCTAGTAAATATTACATTCCTACATATTACATAAATATATACATATTTATATTTATATACATTTACATAGTAAATCAGAAGAAATAAAAGATGAAAATAATTCAAGAGAAAAAAAACGCTGACATTACCCTTTTCTGCATAATATAAAAATCCATCATATTTTTTAACACATCTACATACATAAATACATACACATTTTTAAACTAAAACAAAGTTAGAATAAGTAGAAGTAACAGTACTATTTTTGGTTAATCTGTAGCTTAACGAGCAATTTCTTCGCTTACTTAATGTTCTGAGCTATAAAAGATTGTAACTAAATATATGCCTTTATATGTATTTATGCACTTATTTGGGCAGAGGTTTTTCACTCGTACAGGGTTCTCTCCAGCTTTGAGTACATACATGCATTGAAAAAAGACTTTCTAAATAAAGATGCTAGATCGAAAAAAACAATCGATTTTTAGATTGATTCAAATCGACAAAGAAGATCGATGCGAAAAAGCGTTTACAAATTAATCGATTTTGCATGATCGAAACATATGGTTCTAGTGGCGAAATTTGTAATACCGGATAAAATTTTTATAAGAAATAGATTTTTTTTTTAAGCTATATCAATTGCAAAACATCAAATTCAAATTGAACTCAAAGATATGGCATTTCCATATAATTTTACATTTCGTGAAGAATTATTTGTTCTAACTTAAGTATTGCTAGGTACAGATATTTTCATTGAGTAGCCCAATTTTAAGCGAGATCCCAGAGGGACATTTTCTCATACGGTCATGCGGAAATTTAGGCGCTATCTTCTTCCTCAGTTAATTTGCAAAAATGTGGAGGCCTCAATGTCAATTGCTGGTAAATTACACAAACATGAGACCGGGAATGAGATAGGGGATGCTAAAAAAAGATCGGCAAGGAGATAGTTGTGGAACACCGTCTGTGTGAATGCAAACCCTTGCAGTGTGAGGCTAGAAATGCTTGGCCAACTCTTACTGCGGAATATTTCAGAGTGCAATCGACTTTCTCTTTATGATAAACTAAAATTCGTCAAAACTGCAAAGTGGCTGAAGATTTTTATGAAAACGAGGCTTCTTTTTCTATATCGTTTAAGTAAAGAAAATATACGAACTTTTGTCCATGGCTTTAACAAAGTTTTTGGTCAACCGCAGTTGGGATACACAAATGGTTCACATTTAACTTTTTCTGTTGTCATGGGTACATTCTTTCCCGTCATTTTGGCTTAAATAAAGTGCAGAGCACGTGCTCCACTGTCCCATTTACACAAAAAGCAGCGCAACTTAGTGTACCCAAGAAAAAGGTTTAGTAACATCGTAAGTTTCTTTTAAGTTTGAGCTATGTATGTGCAAATGGTATCGACGGTACGTTTTTACCATTATGGAGCACGACCACGGCTATGAGATTTATTTTTTATGAGTCTATGAACAAGCTCCAATCAGTAGGATCATGTACTTGACATAGGGTTGTCAATTACTACGTTTATACGCACAGAATAATCGACTTAATTGAAAGCGCATTGACACCGTACACATTTCGCTCTAGTGTCTATACTTACGGCTTTATATCGGCATCAAAGTAACCGTCTTCAAAAGCAAACAAAATTAGCACTTTTCATTTGACATTTTATAAGTTAACATAATGGAAAGTGATAAAAATCTAGTTTTATTTGGCATTTTATTATCATTTTTATTAATCAGATTTTAAATACTGATGCGATTATTTGGAATTTGAGCGGAACAGCTGATCTCCAATTCGCTTTGAGTGAGAGCGGTGTTTATACGCTCTTTCTAACTGTCTGGAGAATTAAACTACTGATTTGAAATGGAGTGTGAGCCAAAACACTTCGCTCTTTCAAAGCGAATTGAAATTCAGTTTATACATATGTTTTGAATCGCGGCGAAATGAATTAAAGCGACTTATGCATGCGTATAAACGTAGTAATTGTTACTAAGTAAATTAAACCGTCATCCTTAGAAAAACAATCGACGCAAGTGTGATGGCTATATCCCGTATAAGATCAGCGAGGCGCTCCTGATTTATTAGTAAAGGCGTTTTTTTCATTTTCGTCGGGATAAAAGTCCGAATGAAGTTCATAAGAAGGTTCCAAACTTGACGGTTTTTTCAGAAAAGAGAATGGGCTTGTGAAGAGAACTTGCGTCATGGTATTGTACAGAAATAACAATCGGTAACGTGGTTCGTGGATTCTCGCCAAACGACTGGCTGGAAAAATTGTACCGTAGAGTTTTTCCATGACACCAATCAAGCAAATTTGTATAGCGCGTTATACAACAATAGTGCAGTAGCCAATATTTGTCAATATTTTTAATTCCCATTTTGAAACAATCTCGGTAGCACTTTTTAAAGTATGTATGTATGTCGAAAACGCTTTCTATTATTCTTTGGAGTATATTTTCCGCAAACATTGCAAAATAAATCAGTTGAATTAACACACTTACGTGGCATGGTTGCTGATGGTTTCCAAGCTATACCCGATATTTTATGTATCAACACGTAACTTTTTTAAAACATGATTACTGCGAAATTCGAAATAAAAATAATAAAAAATAATTTGTTGTATTTATGAAAGTTAATATTATCAACATGAATTATTTAGGTGGGCCAGTGGCCCTTATCCAGTGTTTTTAGAAGTCGTGTTGCCGCGAAAATATTCTCTACCATTTATTCCTACTTGCAAAAATCTTTAATAACTGACTGCAGCTCTTTTATGCCCAGTCATTAATTTACAAACTTTTATAGCTCTATCGCCTCTCAAAGTAATGACAATGGATACAATTTTTTTTGACAAAAATAGCTCATCAACATTTGTACCAGTTTTGACTACTTTTCTTTTCCTTTTTTTAAAGCTCCTTAATTTATTATTAAAGTCCAGCACCTTATCTAACAAAAATCTATCTATTAAAAAATTGCACAAACTTTTCATGCCGAATTTTTTAGCAACTTCAAACTTGCACTTTATTTTTATAAAATTTAATAAGCTTTAAAACTGCATAACAAAAATTATTCTAGAAATTAAAATTAAATTGCTTGGAATTGGGATGAAAAATTTGTGGAATTTTTATAATTTTTGTAAAAAAAAGTCTGGTATTTGTTAGATAAAGATAAGTGTTGAGGTGCTATCGTTTTGTCGAGAGCTGTACGTACATACATTAAAACACAACTTTTTAATTAATACTATACATGTTTTAACTAAACTGAAAGAGGAGTCTATGTAGTTGCATGTGACACGCGCTTACTAAATTACACTTTAATTTAAAAAAATTATTATTTTTTATTTTTTGCAATTTAAATTTAATTTTAACTATATTGGTCTCAACAAAAAAATATATTTTTTTACACTCTTCCTTTTAACATTGAAACAATTGTAGCATTTAAAGCTATGTGTGGCGGCAAACACGTTTTTGTGACAAAAACTTTTCTAAATTTTCTTGCTATTCCCGTATAAAAACAAAAATATTGCTGAAACATTTTTCGAGTCACAGCTAATTATTTATTCGCTTATACTTAAGTTTGCTGTAATGTACAAAGGCAATGCTTTTTTGTAACACTTTTCTAGAAATCAGGGTCAAACGCATTTTTGTTTTGAAATCATTAGTCTGTTACCCTTTTATTTTAGGCGTTTTCATGATCTACTAAAAAATACAATATACTTACATAAATAATTTTTAACACAATTGCACCAACTAAAAATCATAAGCATATAGAATTTATAGACAATATAGAACAAAGTTACTAAGTTTGCTGCTAACCGCAAAAATACCTGGTATACCACGAGTTATAATATTTATTATAATAGAATTGAAAATTTCAAGTAAACCTATCCCAACTTTATTACACATTTTCCGGATTTTCGTAAAATGGATCATTATTTTCGTGTCGTTTATTTGTCGTTTCAATTTGCATACCTCAGTCATTCTTTTATTAAGCGTTTATACACTTTTTTTTTAACTGCATTATCACCAACTTTATATTGGAATACAATGTAGTTCGAGTATTCCAAGAATGCAGTATATCTTAAAGACTTTTAATGTAAATTTCGTATCATGTATTTTTCGCGCCAACCAAACCCTTATTCACTAAACTTGAACTAAAACTGAAAATATACTCCATACATAAGTTAAACCTTCGTAAGTAGCTGCATACATATATCGACTGCTGAGTGGAAGATCGACCTACATATCTTGGCAGCCAGATGGAAAACGGCCTATCTCAAAAAACATTTCGAGAATGCTCTATCCCAGCTGCCGATTCAAAAACGCCCTTTCTCAGCACATTTTCAATACATTAGCAGATACGGTGCTTTTCAATAAAATTCATTCAAATTTTGAAGTAAAGCTTTCTTGAAAAGTTTTCTTAAATAGGGTGTTTTCGAATTGGCTGCCGTGATAGGTCAATGTTCCACTCAGCCATCGATATATACATTTATGAACGTACTAAAATCGTTTCCTGGCATCATCACTTGTAATTTGTAGGCTTATTTATTGCGATATTTCAACTCCCTTACTTGCAAGAAATTATAGATTTCAGTTAGTGAATTTGAATATATTAAGAGCGTTATATTAATTCTCTTCAGACGAATGATATTTATAGAAACAAATATGTATTATAAAGTATCCGCATTGGTTTAATATTTAAATTTCGATGTGTAGTCTTATGTTTTCAATTGTTGCTTTAATTAATTTAGTTAAAAATATATGCATATGTGTAACTCTTATCACCATAGCACTGTTACCGAGTGTACTTTTACTACTACTATTTAAGCAAAAACGTTGTGGAAATTTATATAGTAAAAAACATTCTTAAATTACGTTCACGTTGATGTGTCTTATGTCGGTGAAGATAATGAAAAAATGAATGAAAATATACCCCTTC